CTAACTATTAGGGTTGTTGTAAGGAATGTGCTAGTTAAAACACATAAACTGCACATAATAAATTCTGCTATCATTTCTAAATCTAACACCAGTTATTTTTTTAAGTCTTATCTACCAATTCAAGAAGTAGTGAAATTTCCATAATTCTCCAAACCCACTCTGACATACACTTTTATTATTTTGTCTCTTTTCATCTGTTTATTTCCTCTCCTTAGAATACCTTCCCCATTTTACTGCTGATGAATTTATGCTCATCCTTCAAAGAACAGGTGAGGGTCGGAGCCTCCTTGCAGCCTTCCCTGCCACCCTCCTGCAGGAGGCAATTACATTCTTCTTTGTCTATGTTCTTTAAGTAGTAGGTGCACCTTCATATTGACTTATCACACATGATATTAGAGCCACTGTTTACTTGTCAGACAGGTATGAGTTCCTAAAGGCCACCTTAATTTTTGTGCCTCCGATGCCTAGTACAGCATCTAATACACATTGGGCATTTAAGAACATGTTTATGGAAATGAAATGTATTTTTCTCTGAAATCAAAAATATATTTAAAAATAAAATGAAATTTTAAAAAATAATTGAATAAAATTAAAAAAAATTAGGCTAGGAAGACTAAAATCTATTATTAACATACCAATTTTTAACAAAATCAATCTGTAATTTCAATATAGCTCCAAACCCAAATACCAATTGCTTTGTGTTTGCTTATTTGGTTAGAATTACTGAATTGATTTTGTAGTTTACAGAAGAATAAGGGTGTGAGGAGAGCCAGGTAACATTTAATAAAGATGAGAACAGGTGGTTAGCTATACCAAATAACCAGATAATAAATCTTATAAAGAGCCAAAACCGGTTTGGCTCAGTGGAGAGAGCGTTGGCCTGCGGACTGAAGGGTCCCAGGTTCGATTCCGGTCAAGGGCATGTACCTGGGTTGCGGGCACATCCCCAGTGGGAGATGTGCAGGAGGCAGCTGATCGATGTTTCTCTCTCATCGATGTTTCTAACTCTCTATCTCTCTCCTTCCCTCTCTGTAAAAAAAATCAATAAAATATATTTAAAAAAAAAAAAAAAATATATATATATAATATTTCACACATATTGTCACTAGCCCAGGACCTAAATCAGATCAAAGGAAAAAATTGAAAGCAGAAAAATAGACTTAGATGTACATAAAATTTAGAATGTATTAAAAAATCTTGCCCTAGCTGGCTTGGCTCAGTAGATAGAGCGTTGGCCTGCGGACTGAAAGGTCCCAGGTTTGATTCCAGTCAAGGGCACATGCCTGGGTTTCAGGCTCAGTCCCCAGTGGGGGGTATGCAGAAGGCAGCCAATCAATGATTCTTTCTCATCATTGATGTTTCTATCTCTCTCTCCCTCTCCCTTCCTCTCTGAAATAAATAAAAATATATTTAAAAAAAAAAAATCTTTTTAAAGTCAGTGGGGAAAGATAGATTACTCAAAAATGATGTTGTATGTCAACTGTAATTGAAAAGTAAAAAATAATTTAAAAAATAATGAACACGCAAGATATTTAGTAACTACAAAGTAGACCTAGACACTTTTGAAGAATACTGGTCAGTTATTTTATAGGCTGCCTGGCAGCTGGGACAGTCATTCACAACTGTCTGATGTTGTCTCATGATTAGATTGAGGCTCTGCATTATTAGAAAGGATATTACAGGGTGATACATCCTTCTGACTGCATCATAGCATGGGGTACATCATGATGCTTTTATAACTTACTGGTGATGTTAACCTTGAACATGTGGTGTCTTCCAGGAGTCTCCATTATAAAGTATTTGTTTTACAAGAGGATAAAATCCTCTAGAAATTTGCCAAAAAATGTCCAAGACTTACATATATATTCGAAAATACCTATATATAATGTGAACATAAAACTTTTACATTTATTAACTAAATGTAATCCATAAATGCTGTGGATTTTACAAGCTGTTTCTTTCAGCACCCAGACATTATAAAAATACTAGAGGCCCCGTGCACAAAATTTGTGCACTTGGGGGGTGGCTCGCGCAGCCTGGCCTGCGCCCTCTTGCAGTACGGGAGCCCTCAGGGGATGTCTGACAGCTTAGGCCCACAGTTGGACATCCTTAGCACTGCCACGGAGGCGGGAGAGGTGCCAGCTGTGGGCCTGGCTTGTGGCTGAGCGGCGCTCCCCCTGTGGGAGTGCACTGACCACGACGGGACAGCCCCTGCATTGAGTGTCTGCTCCCTGGTGGTCAGTGCACATCATAGTGACCAGTCATTCCACCATTCAGTCGATTTGCATATTAGTCTTTTATTATATAGGATAGATTTAGGTAAACTTTAACTTATTTTTAAATGTTTTGATTTTTTAAAAAGAGAGATGGAGAGGGTGAGAGAGTAAGAAACATCAATGATGAGTGAGAATCATTGATTGGCTGGCTGCCTCTTGCACACCCATACTGGGAACCGAGCCCACAACCTGGACATGCGCCCTGACCAGGAATCGAACCGTGACTTCCTGGTTTACAGATTGATTCCCAACCATGGAGCCACACCAGCAGGGCCATTTAAACTATTTTTTAAACCATTTTTAAGTGTACAGTTCAGTAGCATTAATATACATTCCCATTGTTGTGCAACCATTACCACCATGCATTTCCCAAACTTTCATCCTTCCTAAATGAAACTCCGTACCCATTAAACAATAACTCTCCATTTTCTCCTTCCCCCAGCTCCTGGCAAACACCATTCTATTTTTTGTCTCTATGAATTTGACTCCTTTAAGTACTTCATGTGAGTAGAAACATATACCTGTCCTTTTGTGCCTGGCTTATTTAATTTAGCATAATGTCTAGAAGTTTCATCCATTTTGTTGCATGGGCCAGAATATCCTTTCTTAAGGCTGGATAAGCATACCACATTTTGTTTATCTATTCATCAATCAATGGACACTTGAGTTGTTTCCACCTTCTAGATACCATGAATAAAGGGGTTCAGGACAGGTCTCCCCAAGATGTGCCACTTTGGCATGAGGATTATTTTGAGCTAAAAGCAATCAAGTCTCTTGAACCTTCCTGTTAAAGAATCTAAATGGAAGGACTTGCCCATAATTAGAGTTATCATCAGAAATTTCTAACTTTCCTCTATTAGTGTTGAACAAACTCAAAAAGAGTTTGGAGGCTTTGGTTAGAAATGATTTATTCAAGGGTCTTAAGGTTTGCAAACTGGAAATACAACTAAGTAAAAAAACCCATAAGAAGAAAGAAAAGAGTTCTTATAGTAAGAAGCATTCTTGAGCATAATTAGTCCTGCATTCTTAGCCCTAAGATTGGTCCAAGATAGTTAGCAGTCAGATGTCAGGTGGTCCCAATTGGTGACTCCTGCCGGGGGTAATGAGGGTTATCTGGAGGTCTGATTATGTCCAGGCATTGCTGCAAGACTGGACAGTTCATTTATTTATTGGGGGGGGGGGGGGGCTGGAAAGTTTAAAGCAGGGGTCCTCAAACTACGGCCCGCGGGCCACATGCAAATACAAATATTGTATTTGTTCCCGCTTTGTTTTTTTACTTCAAAATAAGATATGTGCAGTGTGCATAGGAATTTGTTCATAGTTTTTTTTTTTTTTTAAACTATAGTCCGGCCCTCCAATGGTCTGAGGGACAGTGAACTGGCCCCCTGTTTAAAAAGTTTGAGGACCCCTGGTTTAAAGTTTAAGTTCCTAGGCTAGTTCAAACAAGAATAGAATTGTTTCCTCATACCTCAACCTACTTGATTTTTAGTAATTTAGCGGCTTGACAATAGTGACCCCATTTTCTCTCTTCATTCTTTTCTTCATCCGATCGCAAGCTCCTTGAAGGCAAGGGCCGCTTTTGCTCTCTGCTGTAATGCTGAGAGTCTCCGAAACGCGGCCCGATACAGCGAGGAGGTCAGTATGTTCTGAACACATAAAAATGTTACAATGTTTCCAGGTGGCTGCCTTTAAGGCTTGATATCCCCCTCCCCGCCCCCCCGGTACACGTGTTCTCAAATAAAGACAGCCCCTGCGGAAGGCGCCCAGGGCCAGCGCCGTCAGGGCCTCCCCCGCCCCACGCGCGCCGGACGCCGAGTGGGGCTCCGGGGCCTCACGCTGGTCCGAGAGGCGACTCCCCAACCGACACCCGGCGCCCCGGCCCCAGCGCCTCCCCCACATCCTCCACCCGCCCCACTTCCGGACGCGGGCCTGGGTGTGGTCTCGCTATCTCGGCTTTGCAAGAGCCCCCAGCTGATGGGTTTTCTGATACGAAGCCACGTCTGAGAATCCAACGCCTTCAGCAGCTAAACACAGCCGCTCAGGAGTGTCTTCCTCACCGGGTCTTTCCCGTCTATTTCGGGGTAGGCCCCCCCAGTTAAAAAAAAAAAAGGAAAAAAGAAATGAAGCCCTTTTACTGCGCCCCCGAGGCACAACCACCCAAAGGAACGCGGCCCGACAGAGACCCAGGGGGTGCGCACCCTGGAGCCCCGAGGCCCGGGCGCCCGACCGTGCCGGTGAGGTCTCCGAGGAGACGCGCCCACCGGTGGGGACCGCGCCGCCCGGGAGACGCTCGCTGGGCAGGAACCAGCCCTGCCTCCCGCCCTCCAGCCTTTCCCACTCTTCCCCCCGCCGCCCCCTCCTCCTCCGCCTCCTCCTCCGCCTCCGCGCCCGAGCGCACAACCAGCCGCCAGAGGCGGTGCTGCGCCCTGGCCTCCGGCTCCAGAACCGAGCTGCACCGCGGCGGCGCGGACGCCAGGCCTGGAGGGGCGGCGAGGCAGGGCCCGCGCCCGCGCCCCGAGTCCGCGCCCCCAGTCCCCGCCCCCTCGGGGACGTCCTGCGTGCGTGCGCGCGCCCCGCCCCTGCTCAGCCGCGCGACGCGAGGGCGGGGGCGCCGCGTGCGCGCGCGCTCCCGTCCGTTCGTTCGCCTGCTCGCTCTCGGCGGCCGTTCTCGCTGCGGCTGCGGCTGGGGCTGGGGGCGGCGGCGGCGCGGGCGGCGGGCGGCGCGGGGCGGTCCGGCGGGTTCAAAGAGGAAAACATGGCGGAAAACAAAGGCGGCGGCGAAGCCGAGAGCGGCGGCGGGGGCAGCGGCAGCGCGCCGGTAACTGCCGGGGCCGTCGGGCCCGCGGCGCAGGAGGCGGAGCCGCCTCTCGCCGCGGTGCTGGTGGAGGAGGAGGAGGAGGAAGGCGGCAGGGCCGACGCGGAGAGCGGCGCGGCGGGGCCCGACGACGGGGGGGTGGCCGCGGCCTCCGGATCGACCCCGGCCGCCTCCGCCCCGGCCGCCTCCGCGGGCCCTGGCGTTCCCGGGGGCGCGGCATCGACGCCGGCCCCCGCTCCTGCCGCGGCCCCCGCTCCGGGTCCTTCGGCGGGGCCGCCCCTGGGACCGCCAGCCTCGCTCCTGGACACCTGCGCCGTGTGTCAGCAGAGCCTGCAGAGCCGGCGAGAGGCGGAGCCCAAGCTGCTGCCCTGTCTGCACTCCTTCTGCCTGCGCTGCCTGCCGGAGCCCGAGCGCCAGCTCAACGTGCCCATCCCGGGGGGCAGCAACGGCGACATTCAGCAGGGTGAGCGGGGCCCTCCTTGCCCGGGGTCTGGGCCGCCGGGGGATTGCGGGGTCGGAACTGCTCGGGGCGGCGCGGTCCCGAGGGTGCTAAGGTGAAAGGCACTGCTTTCCGAGCGGTTTCCAGGGGAGCTGGACCCCAGGGATGCGGGGAGGGCGGAGGGAGGGGGGTGCCCGCCGCGGGGGGCTGGGGGAGGGGACCCCGTTCCTGGGGAGGTTTGCGATGTGCGGGTTCGGGAGCAGGTGGACCCGGACTGGGAGAGGGAAGGGGCAGCGGGTCTGGGAAGGGGCCGGTGCGGAGGCCGGGGGCCGGGAGAGTGTGGAGGGAGCAGGTAAGCGAGGAGGGCCGAGGATGAAGTGTCTCCGTGGGAGAGGACTCGACCTGTTCAGGACTAGGGGAAAGGACTAGGGGTTGAAGGGAGGATAAAGGGCACGGGCACGGGAGAGTTTGGGGTGAGGAGAAGGCGCCTGGTAGAAAGTAATTTTAAGATGACATTGGGAAGGAGAACGGCTCCGAGGGGCCTGCGTGGCTCGGGAAAAATACTAAGGTTTGGGGGTGAAGGAGAAAAGAGCTTTGGAGGGGATTGGGGGGAGCTGGGCATGCATTTCAGCTCATTGTGCATTAATGAGCCCCTAGTGCTGCAGACACTGTAGGATTGAATAGGATACTCAGTGTGGAGCTCATTCACAGCCTCACGGGAAACAGAAAGCCGATAGCGGTAGAGGTGGGTACCTGCCGCAGGGTTGTGGCACCATCTAGACTAGGATGTCGGGGAAACTTCACTGAAAAGAGAACCCTGAGCGCTTTCGTGAAAGGTGAGTAGCTCACAGGGCACCTTACACAGCCCTTTGCTGCACGGATGTGTAACGTGATTGGTGGAAATTTGGATTCGTGGGCTGATTAGGTGAGGGGTGTGTGTAATCCCTTATCTCAGGGGTGGGGAACCTTTTTTTCTGCTGAGGGCCATTGGGATATTTATAACATCATTGGAGGGCCATACAGAATTATCAACTTAAACATTAGCTTGCTATAGCTGATCAAACATTTAATTAACGCACCCCTAACGCCGTGGCAGGCTCAGACCAAGTGATTTCAGGGGCATACAGCGGGAGGCTGGATCTTCCCCACCCCTGTCTTCTCTGAAACCCTTGGGACCAGGTGTGTTTTAGACTTCAGAATAGTTTGGAAATTTTCTTCTTCCTGGTAAGGTCTTTAATCTCCAGGGGGGCAAGGGTTAACACATTATCAAACATGTTAATATTTATGTACTGAAACACATAAGTATCACACTAATGGGATAGACAATAAGTAGCCTTCCACAATTCAGGGTGGGTTTTGCTGCAAATTTATGAAAAATATTTAAAATTTTACGAAGCTTTTGAGTTTTGGAACTGCAGGTAAGGCATTGTGGACCTGCTCTGGGTTTGGGATGCATTCTGTAGGGTGTACCTGTACAGTGTAGACTAAAGGGGGTTCCTGAAGGACTTTTATGTCAAGAGGATAAAAGGATCACATTTGTGATCCAGAAAGGTCATTTGGCATGTTGAAGGGTAAGGGAAGGCAAGGCTGGAGGGCAGGACCAGTTAGGAGAATCTTGAAGTAATCTAGGTGACAGATTTGGCATGCGTAGTAGAGGACTGATATCAGGGATCAAAGAAATAAGCAGTTTGCTGTGGGGCAAAGGTATGGACTTTGGGGAGATATATTTGAGTTTGGATGTTTACTTTGTCACTTCCTACTTGTGACATGGACAGAATAATTTTTCTTAGCCTAAGTTTTCTCATTTGTGAAACAAGGACAGAATTACCTACCTCATAGGGTTATTGTTAGAATGAAGTGTGTACAGTGATTAGTACTACTGCATGGTAGTTATTAATGAAATGTCAGCTAGTTTATTATTAGTAGTAACTAATAATTGTGAATAGCCATGGAAATGGAGATGGAAACAGTGCTAATAGCAAGTAAAAGAATTCAGGCCCTGGCCAGTGTTGCTCAGTTGATTTAGTATTGTCACATGCACCAAGAGGTCACTGATTCGATTCCTGAGGGCACATGCCCAGGTTTCAGGCTCAATCCCTGGCAGCCAATGTACGTTTCTCACATCAGTGTTTCTCTCTCTCAAATCAATCAAAACATAAAAAGAATTCAGGCACAGAGCAGGATGTGTTTGTGTGGTGGAGGGAGGATATAATTTTAGTTTTGAATATTTTGGGTTTGAAGTATGGAGACATTCAGGTAAGAATGTTAAGAATAAGGGTTAGCCCTGGCCGGTTTGGCTGCTCAGTGGATAGAGCATCGGCCTGTGAAATCGAGAGTCCCAGGTTCGATTCTGGTCAAGGGCATATGCCTTGGTTGCGGGCACATCCCCAGTCGGAGGTGTGCGGGTGGTGGCTGGTTGATGTTTCTCTCTCATCGATGTTTCTAACTCTGTCCCTCTCCCTTCCTCTCTGTAGAAAAAAATCAATGAAATATATTAAAAAAAAAAAAAAAAAAAGAATAAGGGTTAGAGCATTGGCCCAGGGACCTGAGGGTCTGGGTTTGATTCCTGGTCAAAGGCATCCACATGGGTTGCAGGCCTGATCCTAGCTCTGGTCCAGGTGTGCAGGAGGCAACCTATCGATGTGTCTCTTTCACATCAATGCCCCTCCCCCCGTCCCTCCCACTTTTTTTTTTAAACATTTTTATTGATTTCAGAGAGGAAGGGAGAGAGAAACATCAATGATAAATAATCTTTGGTCGGCTGCCTCCTGCACGCCCCACGCTGGGGATTGAGCCGGCAACCCGGGCAAGTGCCCTGACCTGGAAGCGAACAGTTGTGACACTCAACCACTGAGCAGTGCCTGCTGGGCTCTTTCACTCTTTTCTAAAAATCAGTGGGGAAAAATAATATCCTCAGGTGAGGTTAACAAGACAAAAACAAAAGATAAAGATTTGGCTGAAGCCGGTTTGGCTCAGTGGATGGAGCGTCGGCCTGCGGACTAAAGGGTCCCAGGTTCGATTCCGGTTAAGGGCATGTACCTGGGTTGTGGGCACATCCCCAGTGGGAGATGTGCAGGAGGCAGCTGATCGATGTTTCTCTCTCATCGATGTTTCTGACTCTCTATCTCTCTCCCTTCCTCTCTGTAAAAAATCAATAAAATATATTTAAAAAAAAAAAAGATAAAGATTTGATTGATGGAGAAGATACTAAATGGTAATGGATGTATAGAAGGTGGGTAATGGTTGTGTAAGTAACTGCTGCTCATGGTGCCCTGAGTATAGTAAGAAGTGGGATTCAGTGTTCTTGTGGGAACCTGGATTGTGTGGGAGATTTAGAAGGAGCACAGGATGGAAATTGTGTTTGACTGCTGTGGCTAGGGGACTGAAGTAATGCAGTTAGCTCTCTGATATATATGCAGGCAAGAGAATAATAGTCTGTAAATTCCCTCTTCATTTCTACATGCTTTATTTTTGAACTGGTAGAAAGAAGTAGATGGGACTAAATACTGTTAATCTTAAGGAGATGTTGCTTTCTAACCAGTATCTAAAACAAATGAAGTCTGGAAGCCACCATGTTTTTAGGTATGGAATCCTATCCTATCTAATAATAGATAAACATGGTAATTAACTGTAACTTGGCTACGCTTCCCATTGGCTAATCAGGGCGATATGCAAATTAACTGCCAACCAAGATGGCGGCCGGCAGCCAGGCAGCTGAAGCGAACAGGAGGCTTGCTTGCTCCAGTGATGGAGGAAGCCAACGTTCCCCGCCTGCCGCTGCAGGCCTCTGAGCTGCACTCTAAGAAACAATGTTGCAATTATAGAAGCTAAACAAGCTCCAGAAACCTGCTTTCAGCCAGCTTCGGCCTCAGAGCGGCAGTGATGGCAACAATGTTTCAATTATAGAAGCCAAACAAACCAGATACCTGCTTTCAGCAACCGAGGTCTCAGAGCTGGAGCCGAGCCTCAGAGCTAAAGCCAGCTCTCAGTTCCAGTGACAGCCATAGAAGGTAAATAAATCCCAGAATAAAAAAAAAGAAAAGAAAAAAAGGAGAGGTTGGGAGCTTCAGTCGCCTGCCAGCCTGAAAACGGCCCTCAGCCCCTCACCCAGACTGGCCAGGCACCCCAGTGAGGACCCCCACCCTGAAGGGGGTGTGACCAGTTGCAAACAGCCATCAGCCCCTCACCCAGGCTGGCCAGACACCCAAGCGGGACCCCCACCCTGATCCGGGACACCCTTCAGGGCAAACCAGCTGGCCCCCACCTGTGCACCAGGCCTCTATCCTATTTAGTAAAAGGGTAATATGCAAACTGACCCTAATAGTAGAAGGACTGGGAATGACTCGTCACTATGACACACACTGACCACCAGGGGGCAGACGCTCAATGCAAGAGCTGGCCTCTGGTGGTCAGGGTGCTCTCACATGGGAGGAGCTCTGCTCAGCCACAAGCCAGGCTGATGGCTGCCAGTACAGCGGTGGTGGTGGGAGCCTCTCCTGCCTCCTCAGCAGCACTAAGGATGTCTGACTGCAGCTTAGGTCTGCTCCCCGCTGGCAAATGGACATCCCCTGAGGGCTGCCGGGCTGCCAGAGGGATGTCTGATTGCCATCTTAGGCCCAATCCCCCGGGGAGCAGGCCTAAGCCAGCAAGTGGTCACCCCTGAGGGGTCCTGGACTGCGAGAGGGCACAGGCTGGGCTGAGGGACCACCTACCCCCGAGTGCACAAATTTTTGTGCACTGGGCCTCTAGTTTAGAAAATAATTTGTTAGTATTAACTCCTGTATCTTTGCTTTGCTTTTTAAAAAAGCCAGCATGCTGTTCTGGAAGGAACACTGGATTTGGAGTCAGGCAACATAGTTCTGCTACTTGTTTTCTGGTTCCCTCAGGTTCATAATGTTTTTGTCCTTCAGTCTATCTCTACACTGTAGCTAATAGTTCTTCACTTATATCTCACTGAGTCAAGTTAAATAATAAATATGAAAATGTTTTTATAAACTGAAATGCCTTGCAGATGCAAGGTAGTG